TAGGTATGATTAATTATGACATGTATGAAAGGATTGATGGCACCGATGGAGAGGTCGTATAAAGTCTAATATTGATGTACTATATGCTCGAATCTCTAGACACGATATAATAATATAGGTGCATAGTACAATGTATAAATACTATATATATGAATTTAAAATAAGACTTGCGTCGTTGAAACTCACAGAAATGGAAACATTTTACGAATTCTATAAACAGAATGAGAAAAAAGATTTTTTTGAAATCTACACAGGGAATTTATATTAATATTATATATGACTCTCACCAGTTACGTAAATATATTGTCTACTGTATAATATTATACAATATACCTACTATCCTATCTTGTTGGATTTGCTTCGAGTAGTTGTAGTCGTACCAAACCTGAAAAATGTTACTTATCCAAATTCAAAACGTTTTCATTATTTATAGTGTCATAACAATATTGTAAAATATTATTTTGGTTCTTACAAACCCAACACTTTCCGTTCAAAAAACCTATTTAATTTAAATCCGTTAAAAAAAAACTAAATTGAGTAGGTCATTATTTCTCGGTAAAGCACGATTGAGCATAAAACGATTAAGCATGGAATATTTTAGGCGATGTTGCCACATTCACGTGGCCGAAATTTTGTAATTTATTATTATTTTCACGTATTATTACACCAATAATTGTTATGATATTAGACTCGAGTCGTGAGCTGAGCCCAGCTTTATCTACAACGTTATCGATTAGTAAATTTAGGTCCGGAGCAATAAAGTTCCGAAGTTTTAAAAATTTAAAATTAGATAAAAACATAAGTTAATAAATTAAGATACAATTCCAAAATTATCATTTAAATAATATCAGTGTTCGATCACCCATACTCTATAGTATTCTTGACTTATCAAGTTATAAACCATGCAGTATTTTTTTTAATTCGTATCATATTTTGATTTTATTATTTTCATAACTATTATTATTATTATTATTATGGTATATTTTTGATGTATTATATTTTGAATTATAATAATTATTTAAATAAATATTTTTGTATAATATAGTTAAAAATGGAAAATAGCAACGTTGCAGAGTTTTTTATGCTCAATCGTGTAGGTTTTCTTTTGTATTCCGATTTCCTTTGATAGGCCGACAATTTGGCTCAATCGTGTCTCAAAAAAGGTGTTTTATGCTCAATCGTGTCTCAGCCTTATTTCTAATATCCAAGGTCAGATTTAAGCGAGTACCTATGGTGAATATAGTTATCAGTACTGAAATATTTTTTCAAAATAGAATCATAACCTTACATAATCAATTCCAATTATATTATTATAAGACATCTCCAGCAGTAAACGTGTTCTGTTGTACACAAACGCGTGGTTCGATTAAAGCCCGTTAGAAAATATCTTCTTTGCAGTATACCTAGAAAAAATTATATTTGAATTTTGTGAGACGAGGAACGTCGGAGCTAATTTTGTAACAATAATCAGGGCAAGCTGAAAGGCAAGCTTTAATAAACTGCAGTGGTCGAAATATTTAATATCATTACTGATCGTAGAAGAAGTAATTTTTCTTTTGCAGTGGGCAGTTGTGGTTTTTATTTTCAAATGGAGCTTCTGGGGAAGGACCTCCCTTACATTTCTGTACTGTGTTCCGAAATTCATAAATCAGTATTTGCTTATAACTGCTAAACTGCGAAATGTCATCATCATAATACTCGATCAGTGATATTATCATACTCATGTGCTATGATATAACATTAATCATTATACTCGAAAAAGTGGACAAGTGGGTGTCACTCTGCTGTACAGTAGGTTACAAGTGGGTAACTGTAATGGATGGGGATAGATTTGAATTCATTGATTGTATACGAAAAACGATTCTGAGCTAAGATGGTCAGTCAGACTATGACTAAGTATATTTGATGATATTATTGTGAATAAACTAATTTACGTAGTTATTTAAGTGGAACCTTGTTTGAAATGTTCAATCCTTAGCTATGAAAGTTGAAAATTGTATACATTTTTAACTACAAAATCGTATTTTAAATCAAAATTCAAACTTTATATGCTTTTAAAAAAAAAATTTGTGCATATGCATTTTTGATATTTTGAAACTGCTATTTAATATATCAGGAGCCTTGTATTAAATTTTTATGCTTTTTGCCCAACAAATAACATTTTATTGACATTGATAGAAAAGAAAAAAAACTAAAAATTAAAATTAAAAGTGTCCTTAAATACAATGTGAACGTAGCTCAAAATGAATCAAAATATTTTGAAAAGTATAGGAATTGATAAAATAAATATGATAAGAGAATATTATTTCTTGCGTTTTTCTTTCGAATTTATTAGGTACTGCTGTCTTAGTCTCTAATTATAATCACTAAGCCTCATTATTATACCATGGTACTTTTATAGTCTTGGTCTTGTTTAATTATTTTCGGCCTTTTTAAAGACCCTCGTTATAATAGTGGAATCGTGGTGCACAGATTTTATAAGGAACTAAAAAATATATGGTCAATAATTGTTTACCAATTATAAGTGTGGGTAGCGTGTATTATAGATGTTTATAATAATGCACGACAAGTACTAAGTAGTAATGTGGTAAGTAGTTGTGCATAAGACAAATACATTTTAATATATTATAAGCAATAATCTATTCTATATTATATTATGCTGGTGTCTGGATCACAATATGTCATCATGCGTTATTGACGCTGCAGAGACGCATATAATGTTTGCACACCACGTGTAGAATAATATAAAATATTTGATTACCGCTACTCTACGTACGACCCTAAAATAAAGAGACTCAATATTTCCGAAACGGAAAATGTCATATAAAAGTGTTCACCTTTCGTAGAAATAAGATAGCTGCAGCCTGCAAGTATATTAATATTGTATTGTCAACTAATTCTGAATGTCTGCACGTGACAGCTGTCTGCTGTTATTAATAGCATTATAATATTAAAACATTTTTATAATCAAACCAACAGTAGTTTAGTGACTCGCTTCATGAGCATCTCAATTGCTTCATAATTAGCTTAAAGGGGTAATAGGCAAATCGTTAGAAATGTTGTTTGTAATTAAATTGAAAATGTTTTGTTTTTACTATTTGATAAATATATTATACAAAAGATCTAAGAGTGAAAACTAATTCTGAACTGACTATAAATTATATTTAACAGGTCCCATCATGGTACAAAAATATTAACAGATTTATAATAATATGATAAATAGGAAAACTCATGTTTGAAAGCTTGCAAACTTCAATATTTTCGGTGTGCAAGTGTTACACAGTTCGGTTTTCGAATATTTAAGTGTCATACCGACTATAACGATGAGCTGGTTCATCGGCATTGTACAATATTGAATATGGGCACTGAAAATATAAAATAAACTAGACACTCCGCTCGTGGTGTACAAAACAATATTAACGTGTCGGCGTAAATTGTAACGACATCGAAACCCAGACGAAAGGAGGATAAGCAGTTGTAACGTGAAAACGTTCGGGACGTGTAATTCGGGTGGTGAGCCAACAACTGATGAAAACATCGCTGCACAGACCGTACTTATTTCTAAAACGTTCCATCTTGTATCGGGTTTTTTTTCTCTCTTCTTTCATAAACTCGATTACTCGCTTAAAACGACAAAATAAATCTTCCACCGACATCCGTGTTCGGCACTAACACCATGACTATTATACTCCTAGCATCGAACAAGCAAAAAAATTACCGAACACATAATGAATTCGTACGGCAAAACTTTACCCGTTTCTTATTGCTATTATTTTTTTTTCTTCTCTGACGCTCGTTACTCCACAGAAGAGTAAACTATACGCCCATATATAGAGGTACCATTATAGCTGTGTATTATTTTATGTGTAGTAGTAGTACACACAATCGATATCCGGTTTTCACGTATGTGTACACTGGGCTCGTTTCCTATACATCTACTCCAAAGTCTTTATGCATACAAGAAGTATAACCTATCGCACTACCGTCTACCGGTACAATAAAGGACACGAATGGAAAAAAATCGAAATCATCCAGTATAGAGCCCTTTTAAAGTTAGATAATTTTTGTTATTATGGTTACTTTAATGGAAATAACTATATGTCTTGTGGGTAAAACGAATCCTGAATGTAACTAATATACTTAAATATTTTTTTATAATTTAACGTATACGTTTTTAAAATAATTGGAGACTTAACTCTTATAGGTAATTGAAGTTAAAATAATTTTACTGTTTATAACTATAAATTATTTGGTATTACATCGTTGCAGTATCAAAATACGGTCATGTTGTCATGGTATGATTCAGTGATTGTATGAACGCTTAGATACTATCGTCTATCTTTGATAGTCAATATAGTCTGTGTAATAAGGACATAATATGTTATTAGTTTTAATTATTTGTTTCTTTATTTTAGAGAATAACAATTCATAGTATATCTATATAATATATAAAAATGGAGCCAAAAATGTATAACAATTCATCAATTGAGAACGGCTGGTCCGATTTGTCTCAATTTTTTTTTAAGATGTTTGTAATTGCCAATAGAAGCTTTTTACGAAAGAAAATTTTTAAAAAGTCAACCGAATAATTAGAAAAACTGCAAAAACTATTTATTGATGTCTGGGATTTGAACTCGATACCGTTGTCTTTATTTACTCTATGGTAGACGTAGACATCTCTATGGCAATTAATACTGATGTATTATTTATTATTATTTATCAGCTCGATGTACAATCAGTATAATCTATGGTTTCTATAGTTATTTTATAGTTTTGTGTTCATTATTTTGTTATTATCATTAATTTATTATTAAGACTTCATTTTCCATTTTCCAGAAAAGTGAGTACAATTTTATTTTATTTTATTTTATTTTACTAATTAGCAATCACTTATTTAAAACCTGCATTTTTTATAACATGCACGAGTATTATTAAATATTGAGTATTTTATTTTCTATAGGATTAATCAAAAACAACTTTGTTAATATTTTGCTTGACTGATGCCTCCTATTAGTAGATCAAACATTGGACGACGTACACGTAATGCAATCATTTGTGAGAATGTCCGTTATAATCAAACGCAAGAGGAACGAGCAGAAGTAAATGTATTGAGACGTGCTCATATAACACAGGTTCGCGCCTTACAAACACCACCTCAAATTCGACAACATGGTAATAGGAGAAGAAGAAGTACAAATGTATCCTTGAATCGCGCTGCTTTCGAATACGATTCCACAATCGCCTACAAAGATCTTTGCTGTGTTAATATCGGTTCATTGTCTATCGTATGCCAGCATTGAAATGCATTGAAATTTCGATAGGAAACCCTTGGCTTATGCTGCCCTGGTGGCAAGGTGAAATTGCCAGTTTTGGATCAACCATCAGAGCCATTGTATTCGTTACTCTATGGAAATACAAACCATTTCCTGGCGAATACACAAAAATATAACGGTTGTTTTCAAATGACGTCATTTGGAGCCGAAGTTGTTGTTCAACCAGGTTACAATCCGAGTTATAAGGTAATGGCGTCTAATATAAAATAACTTTTTTTTACAAATGACCATCTAAATATTCAGATTCAAGGGCAAATTGACCATCGAGCGGGCACTTTGTTACCACCACCAAATGAAGATCATAAGTTCCTTCAGATCTATTTCGTTGGTAATTCGGAAATTTAACTAGATCAGCGTTGTTCAATTTTTACTGCGAATAAACATGAAATAATCGGACAATTGAAATATCTTCTGCATGAGTATAATGAATTGGTCAGATTGTTCAAAATCCAATTGGAAAAAATGCATTCTGACGACCACAAAATCATTATCAGAGCAGACAAAGGACCCTCTGGAAGCCATGCAAGGCAATTCAATGCTCCCACTATAAATTACGTCGCAGTGGTGATTGTTGACGAGAATGTGGCATCACGCGATATTGTTCTCAAGCGTCGAGATGGTGGACAATTGCAGCGCGTATACGAGACTCATATGATGCACTTCAATACCCGTTGATGTTCTGTCGTGGAGAGGATGGCTATCACTTAAATATAAAGATGGTCAATCCAATGACAGGTTTGTTTACAAGGTCATCATTTATTTTTCATACTATAACTAAGTTAGAATTCATATTTCAGGAGAAGAAACGAATAAAAATGTCAGCTCAATGAATTTTTATGTTTATCGATTGATGATTCGGCAATATGTTGACAATCATCTATTGAGATATCGCCGGTTGTTTCAACAGTACTGCGTCGACATGTACGTCAAGGTCGAAACGGAGCGTCTCAATTTCATTCTCTTCAATCAGTTGAAGTTACGATCAGACGAGTACATCCACTTGCGTGATGCCATCGCTACCGAAGGAGACGCGGCCAACATTGGTTGTTTGACCATTCTCCCAGCTACTCATGTTGGAAGCCCGCGCCACATGCATGAATATGCTCAGGATGCGATGAGGTACGTGCGGAATTACGGATGTCCTGATTTGTTCATCACGTTTACTTGCAATCCGAAATGGCCTGAAATTACAAATCAGTTGCTGACAGGACAAACATCCAGTGATCGACATGACATCACTGCACGAGTATTCAAACAAAAGATCATAGTACTCATGGATTACATCGTTAAGCAGAAGGTCTTTGGCTCACTCCGTTGATGGATGTACACGGTTGAATGGCAGTAGCGTGGTTTACCACATACACACATTCTGCTTTGGATGTTCGACAAGATCCGACCATATCATATTGATTCGATCATTTCTGCCAAAATACCAGATCCAGAAACTGATCCTGAGCTGCATTCCGTTGTGACAACGAACATGATACATGGCCCTTGCGGAGCTCACAATCCAGGGTCACCGCGCATGAAAAACGGAAACTGCACAAAGCGTTTTCCCCGTCCGTTGGTGGCTGACACAATCAGTGGAATCGACGGATATCCATTGTATCGGCGTCGTTCTCCAGATGACAACGGCAGATCAATCATGATGAAAGTGAAAGTAAACGATGTCGTCGTCGATAATCACTGGATCGTTCCATATTGTCCACTTTTGTCAAAAAAGTTCTCAACTCACTGCAATGTTGAGTATTGCAACTCCATCTAATCAATCAAATACGTTTGCAAATATGTGAACAAAGGGAGTGACATGGCTGGGTTTGGCATTGCTGATCGAAATGCAAACGATGAGGTGACGAAATTTCAACTTGGACGTTACGTGAGTTGTAATGAGGCAATTTGGCGGCTGTTTTCATTTCCGATTCATGAATGTCATCCGACTGTCGTACATTTGGCAGTTCACTTGGAGAACGGCCAGCGTGTCTACTTTACGGAAGCAAATGCAGCGCAAAGAGCAGAATGACCACCAGCAACAACATTGACACATTTTTTTTCGACATGCGAAAGCGATCCGTTCGCGATTACTTGACTATATTCGGAAATGCCACGCTATTATACATGAAATGCTGCATTGAAGAAGTTTCAACGCAGGAAGAAAGGTGATGCTGTTGCTGGCTTCGTTGATGTCTATTCGACTGATACCCTCGGACGAATATACACAGTTCATCCACGCCAAGACGAATGCTTCTATCTTCGCTTACTTTTGGTGAACATTAGGGGCCCGACATCCTTCAAATCTCTGCGTACTGTGGATGGTGTGCTGTGCGCCACTTTTCAGGAGGCTTGCCAACTTTTGAATTTGCTTGAAAACGATATATATTGGGACTCAACACTCGCCGATGCAACTGTTTCTGCGTCAGTGAATCAATTTCGTACGTTGTTTGCGATCATCATAGCCACATGTCATCCATTGAACCCGACTGTATTGTGGAAGAAATACAAGGACGAGATGGCTGACGACATTTTGCACAAAGTTCGCACGACAACTTCGAATTTTGATCTTGAAATTAACGACGAGATGTGCAACGAAGCATTAGTTCTGATCGAAGACATGTGCGTGCTCATGTGCGGCAGTATGTTGACAACATTGGGAATGCCAGCGCCAAATCGTTCGACGCACGATGCATTCAATCGTGAATTGCAGCGGGAAAAAGACTATGATCGAGATGAGCTGGCTGAAAGAGTCCGAACAAATGTGCCGCTATTGAATGCCGAGCAGAAGAATGTATACGATTCGCTGATGAAGGTTGTTGATGATGGAACGGGAGGCATTTACTTTCTCGATGCTCCTGGGGGGGGCAGGCAAAACGTTCGTCATTTCGTTGATTCTGGCAACAATTCGGTCAAGATCTCAAATTACGTTGGTTGTTGCATCATCTGGTATTGCTGCCACATTGTTGGAAGGTGGTCGAACTGCACATTCCGCTTTGAAGCTGCCAATGAATCTTCTCACGGTTGATAAGCCTACGTGCACAATGACCAAGAATTCAGCGACAGCGAAATTGATGCGAGAATGCAAAATCCTCATTTGGGATGAATGCACGATGGCGCATAAACTAGCTCTGATGGCAGTTGACCGAACGATGAAGGATTTACGAGGTGATTCGAGACGATTTGGTGGGGCAATGATATTGCTCTCTGGAGATTTTCGTCAAACACTTCCCGTCATTCCGAAATCTACTGCTGCCGATGAACTTAATGCAAGCTTGAAATCGTCGTTTTTGCGGCGGCATCTCAAGATGTTGAAATTGACCACGAACATGAGAGTTGAGTTGCAGAACGACCCATCGGCTACTGAATTATCGAGACAACTGCTGGCGCTTGGCAATGGCCAAATTCCGGTTGATGTTTTGAATGGATTGATATCGTTCCCGGAAAATTTTTGTGAGTCGAAGGAGGAACTCATTACAAAAGTGTTCCCAAGCATTGAACACAATTATAAAAATCTTGATTGGATAAGTGAACGGGCAATACTAGCAGCGAAGAATAGGGACGTCGATAGCTTGAATTGTATTATTCAAAGTAAAATCGATGGAGAATTACGTTCGTACAAATCCGTTGATAGCGTGACCGACGAAAATGAAGCGACCAACTATCCGTCGGAATTTTTGAACTCGCTTGATGTGCCAGGAATTCCGCTGCATAATTTACAGCTAAAGATGGGATCGATTATTATTATGCTGCGGAATCTACATCATCCAAAATTGTGCAATAGTACGCGATTATCCGTCAAGAAACTGATGAACAATGTAATACAAGCAACGATCTACAAGGGCAAATTCAAAGGAGAGGAAGTCCTTATCCCACGAATTCCGATCATTCCTACAAATCTTCCATTTCAATTCAAGCGGATTCAGTTTCCCGTTCGATTGGTTTTGGCGATGACAATCAATAAATCGCAAGGCCAATCGTTGGAAGTCTGTGGGATCAATTTAGAATTTTCATGTTTTTCGCACGGTCAGCTGTACGTTGACAGTTCGCGTGTTGGCAAACTGTCTTCGTTGTTTGTTTTCGCGCCAGAAAACAAAACGAAAAACATTGTTTATCATATGGCACTCAACTGATTTTTGTTTCAATTCAAATAGATCAATAAATAAATTCTTGAACTATATGTTTTATTATCACTCGGAAGTTTATCTGAAGGCGTTAAGTTCGCCGGGTTCACTTAATATTTAAAATAACTTTTTGGCAAAACAACGTTTGCCATGTCAGCTAGTAATATATGTTTTCACGGGACTACGTCACTGCCCGAATGATAGATAGTAATAAATAATAATACTAATAGTAGCAACCGAATCAGGATGTTGTTAATATTATATATTGAGACCATTCTTGAACAGTATTTTACATAATACATTATAGAGTAGGAACCGATAGAACACCGTGGTTGCTGCATCTGTTTATTGTGATGATACTGTAAATATAAGTGGGTGTTTAGACGACGACGTCGTCACACAGTAATCACGGCTTGATAGGGCTTCCGAGTTCCGATAGTCGCCACTCACCGTAATACATAGTACTCCCTCTCGCAACTCTCTCTGTTCCGCGTACTGTGCCGCGAACAACGCACGAGACGGGGTCCGCGATCCAAAATCTACCGCGACATACTCTTACCGAAATACCGCATACAGGTATAATAGTTTTGTTACCGTGACACCGAGCACCAGAATTTGTGTAGTGCGTTACCGCTTACCGTCCACCACTTATCGTTCACCGTTTACCGCCATCTGTTCACCTGCGCACCGTCTACCGTCACCCGTCACCCGGGACTGCAGCCGCCGTCACGGTTTTTATATTCATATATTATCTCTACCAATTTGTGCATTTTATTTATTTATTATTATTGTATGTTTTTTATCTTAAATAATTTACCCATCAGCTGCCCATCACTTTTTGTGCCCTTTTACCCTTTTTTTTTTAAGTATTTTGTAATTATTCTAAATAGTAGGCCGTCAATCCGGCAATCAAATTTAAAAGCACCGTGTTTATTGATTTACCAGGCTTCTAAGTGGAATAAGTTTAATTCCTTATACAGTCCACTATTCTCCGAAACAGTGGGTATACCTATATTAATCGGTGTATGCATCGAAACCGATATACGGAATTTTAAAACTACATGCACCTATACTGGTGAAATTTATGCTATGTCAGCGAAATCGACGGTCCTTGATAAATATTACGTCAAACAGACTCGCACAGTGGCAAGCGATCGATATAATACATTTTTCCTAATACCGGAAGCAGGTGCAGGACGCGAAACCTCGAAAAAAATAAAATACGTCGGTCCAGTGAGAATAGTAAGTCGAGGTCGGGCTTAAATAATTACAACGTTAAACTACCCGAATTAGCAGCTACGAGGGTGTTCGGATGCATTATAATAATGAGCCAGCCGCCGCCGCTCTGTTACGTGATTTTTTGTTTTTTCGTTCCAGGACGAGAGCGACAGCTATAGTCTACGTGCACGTGCGCCATATTAGCACGCACGAACTGTGTGTAGGTATGTGTTTATATTTTTTAATCCGTTTAATAAGCTAAATGAACAAGACGACAAGTGCTGCCACACCTTCAGAAGCGAGCGAGTACGATGACGAGCCAAAGCACGACGATGTATGACATGAGAGCTTTTTTTTTCAAGTATATACATTATAATAATATAGGTATGTGTAGAAAGTGACGGAGATCAATATGCACGCCACGGAGACCGGGTCAATGGAAATAACCGTTAGACTTTGATAAACATCACAATACCGAACACCACGTAGGTATAGTGTTTAATATACCGTCGAGTTTTGTAATTAAGGGAGGGTGAAAAATAAAAAGGAGGAAACGTTGGCTGATACCCTCGTCCGTGTATGTTGAATACACGGAAAACTCGATCAAAACGAGACCGAGAAAAAACAATAAACTAGGTTGCGATACCAATCTATCAGAGTACCTACCACCATCTAGTAATGATAATAAAGAACACAAGTTTGGGATTAAGATAAAACAATATTGTGCGATTATTAGTATTTAGTAGGTGTCAACATGTACCTGAGGTGAACAATATAGATGTCAACAGAATAATGATGGTTGATCCAAACATTATGAAAATATACAGAAAAAATACAACAACAGAGGGAGCTATTTACAATATGTTTAGTACACACATTATTTCGAAAAGTTTTAACTGAAAATTCTCGTTTTACACAATTTAATTTAAGGGGGCTGCAGCCGGTACCAATAATCACGTAAAACAGGCCAAAAGCTAGACAAAACTGTAGGACTTGGGTTGGACGGATTTTAATTTTGAAAACTGATTGAAAATCTTTAACAACTCTACTAAAGCATGGTCGTGAAAATTTATCATTATAACAAAAATTAATGCCGTACTTAAATATATAAAACACCAAAATTCTTATTTTGTAAATTGTTGATATCTTATCGAATAATTTGAATAAATAAAATCCCCTCGATCATTCCCTAACTAACACAATGACTAATTAATATATTTTTTCTAAATTAAAATCTGTCGTACCCAAGTCCCACAGTTTTGTCTAGCTTTTTGGCATTTTTGTCATTTGAATAGCATGAGTATATTTGATAAAATCTGTATAGTTGACATGTGCCTGCGCGTGCGAAAATTCACGGCGGCGGTCCTAATTGAAAATAAACTGCCAACATTCGATTCCTGGAATATAATATTACAAGATAAGAAAACGATTGCCGGCGGTGTGCTTAATTCTAATAAATATTATATTATTGTAATAATAATAAATATATATATCGCCCTGCGTACTTGTTTTGGTCCCCTGCCGGTACGTAATATTATTAAACGGCAAGCACAAATCATATTCTTATTTTGATTTTCGATTAGTCTGGTTAGGTAATAGTATAATGTGCAGTATCTAAAGAGAGAATTTTTATATAAAGTATTTACATATTTTTCATTTTTGGTGCTATGGACAGTAAAAGTGACTGGCATTATGGAAAAAAAACTAAGACTCTTTTATCCAAGAGAAAGAAAAATAAAGGTAACATTAATGCCCTGAATGGTTTAAAAAAAGTAAGTATTAATATTACAAATCTATTAATTACCTTAATAACGTCTTATCTTATTACCTTTTTAATTATTAATATTTATTCAATTTGTATTTTACGTGAAGTTTTAAAAATGTTTAGTATTTATAGTTTATACCTATGGGTAAGTTACTTAAAGTTGAATACAAGCTTTACCATGATTTTCCTTTGAATAATTATAAAATAAACCAAAGCGACATTACACAAAAAAAATTTATGAGCGTTTAATTTAAATTTTTACGAAATCGCGTAAAATAACTATTTATCCTCAAACGATTTTAGATATTTGTTATTACTGTTTTTGTTTTACTATGAAATATTATAGAGTATTGATACTGATAATGTGGACGATACCGTTGATACTGTACCTTCGCCTTCTAATATATTGTACCCGAAAGAAGACGAAACCGAAGCAGTGGTATTAGAATTATCAACTAGTGATAATTTGAACGACACGCAAAATGACGAGTAAGTTCATACTCGTTTTGGGCTATTTACGGACATTTTAAATTTTAAATTATTTAGTTTATTTAGTTTATTTTTCTTTACTTGTCAATAATATGTATTTATAGGATCAAAAAACTTGAAAATTGAATACAAGGCTCCTGATATATCTCTTTACAATATTAGCTGAAAAATATTAAAAATACATAAGCACAGTTTTTTTTAATAAGCATTTAAAGTTCAAATTTTGACAAAATATATATCATTCAACATTTACAAATGGTTTTAGTTTAAAATTTTTAAACTTTTCAACTTTTATAACTAATGGTTGAAAATTTAAAACTAAGTTCCACGAAAGTAGATTATTCTGTAACCAAAAAATCTAAAAATATATATGATAACCGTTGTTTGTTTTTTGTTTTTTATGTTAAAATGTGGATGAAATTACATATTAATAAATAACCAAGATTTATGCTATTTTGTTGTAAATTAAAAATATTATTATTTTGGAAAAAATGAATTAAATCTACTGCGTAGTATAGGTACTAATGCTAACTAGTAAAATAAATTACTTTCATCACAATAATATAAACAAATATACTACATTACTAAGTAATATTATAGACTGATAGACCGTCGTCGCTCAGAATCGTTTTTCTTTCGTTTACCTTAATAGATATTTTTAAATAAAGGCAGATCGTGGGTACATCCATTTTTTACAATTTTTTTGTTTTTATTTTAGGTACTTATTAAGTGGTAGACGAATCGTTGATATTGCATACTTTTTTAAATCCATTCGACGTATTAAACATAAGGGTTTCGAATGTTCATTCTCAGAAAATATGAAGTTAGTAAATGAAAAAAGAAATGGATTTTCTAGCAATTTTGTTTTTAAATGCTTAATATGTGGAGTTTTTGAAAATATTTATTCGGAAGATCCTGATAGAAAAGATTTTGATATCAATATGGCAATTACTTCAGCCGTCATTAATACTGGACAGGGATATTCGCAATTGGATGAATTTACGGCCGTACTAGATATGCCTTGTTATGCTAATAGTTCATATCAAAAATATCACGAGAAATTGTATAGTCATTTATTTGATGCTTCGTTAGATGAAATTAGACTAGCTGGAATTGAAGAGGCAAAACTTGCTATACAAAATGGAGAAGTGGATGACCAAGGTCGTGCATTAGTGACTGTTGTTGCAGATGGAGCTTGGTCAAAAAGATCGTATAAAACAAATTACAATGCTTCATCGGGTGTAGCGTCAATTATTGGGTATAGAACGAAAAAATGTTTATTTATGAGTGTTCGTAATAAGTACTGTGTCATATGTGAAAGAGCCTCAAACACAAAACAAATAGTTCGTGAGCACAAATGCTACAAAAATTGGACTTCTACTTCTACTTCTATGGAGTCAGATATTATAGTTGAAGGGTTCAAAGAAAGTTTAGCAATGCATAATATTATATATTATAAATTAATTGGTGATGGTGATAGCAGTGTTAGTAAAAAATTACAACTCGCTAAACCTTATGGTCCGGATATGATAATTCA